GCCTCGTGCCGCGGGCTGGCTGGAGCCCGACGCGGGGCGCTCGGCGGCGACTCGCGTGGTCCCGGGTCCGCGCCGCACGGACAGGCCAAGGGTCTCGGCGGCTCTGCCGGCCTGCGCGCGGGAGCCAGACTCAGACCTTTCGGCCTCCACTGTACCCTCGGCCCCAGTGACCCTGGCCGGCTCGCGTCAGGAGCCGGGCACCTATGGGGACCCAGGGAGGGGATGGGGGGACGCCTTCGCCGCACCCAGGGGAATGTGTCCCACGGGTGACCTCCTTGTCTCCTGCCTCGGGCAAGTAGGTCTCTGCGGGGGTAGGGGGAATGCCCTTGGAGGAGTGGTGGGGAGGGGTCTCGGAGTGCGGGCCTCTGGCCAGATCCATCCCCCTACACGTGTGGAACTCGGGCCTTAGTCTCTCGCGGTGGACAGCGCCCAGCGTAGGGTCCAGGGTGACCTGCCAGGCGCAGACAGATGTGGAGTTACATAAGGGGAGGCGGAGAGCGGCCCAGCCGGCAACAGAGTGCGCCCACCCAGGACTCGGGGGCCTCAGGTGCAGGAGTAGCGTCGCAGGACTGCAGGCCGGGACCCCCGCTGGATCCGGGGGCGCCGGGTCATCACCGCCGTACAGAGGTCGCTGCGCTCAGCGCAACCAAGGCAGTGGTGTCTGCATTAGCGCCTGCGGGAGGGCGCGGGGGAGGAGAGGCGGCAGAGCGACAGTCCACCCCCCACCCGCTCAAAGAGGTCAAGGACAGACGCAGCCTGACACACTCACAGCGAGACAGATAGACACGCCCACACCCAGACACACAGACACCCACAGACCAGGAAAAGCCACCCAGCGACCGGGACCACAGCGGCTGAGACACATCCAAGAGCAAGCAGCCAGGCGCGGAGGCGAGCGGCTCCCCCTGCCGCCGGCAGCGCTCAGCCGCCGGATTCGCCGAGCTCGGGCTCCCCGAGGAGGAGGCGGCTGCAGATGGCCAGTCCCCGCGGCAGGCAGCCTGGACCCCAGGCTCAGACGCTCAAAGGCACCCCCTACGTCCAGCAGCGCCTGGTCGTGTGGGCCCCGGACACCTCCAGACCCTAGTGGAGCTTCAGAAACTTTGGGGAGGGGGCTGCTTCTGCACTGTCTTTTAAGACCACGTGATTCCTGCCCAACAACCAGAAAGCAGCCCCCAATCCTCGTCCAGCTGGCCCTCACTTCCTGGCCCCCCAGCCTGTGCTAGGAGAGGAATTGGGCTCCAGCGTGTCCTTTTCTATGGGAGCCCACTTGGGGGTCCTTGGCTCTGCTCAAGCTCCCCACTCGGTAAGCTGCTTTACTTCCAGGCTCTCCAGTCCCTCTGAAACACTCCAACTTGCCTAGTAGTGCCACAGGTCTAGATATGGGGGGTTTCAGGGGCTAGGACAGTGAGGGGTGCTGAGCCCCACTGTCCCCCACCATCCTGCCCCCTGAGCCACCTGCTGGGACCAGACTTTCAACCCCAAGCTCCCCGCTGAGTGGTCTTCCTAACTTGGAGCCCCAATCTCCAATAGCCCCAGTCCTGTGTGTGGCCACCTCAGGTGCCTGAGGAGGGATGAAATGGGACGTCACCTCTCCACTCTGGGCGCCCTGTCCTGCCTGCGTACCGGCCTGTAATGGGGGGCTCCACAGGGCTCAGGGAGGAGGCAGTGGGAGAGGGCTGGGGGTGACAGCTCTTGCCCTGTGACCACTGTTGTTCTAAGGTGGGAAATCTTTGGAAGAGCAGCAATGGGGGCTCTGAGCTCTGCTGACAGTCTGTGGGGAGCTGGGCCACCGACACAGACGACAGTTGGGATGACCAGCGGCTCCACCAGGGGAGAGTTGGGCCATATCCTCCCTGGCGGGTTAGTCTCCTGAGAATGGCCAGGTGCACTATGAGCTGGACTCTAAGGAAACAAGGGGATTTTTACTGCTAATAACATGCCCTTAGCTGAAATCCACCACCATGACGCTCCAACAGCACATTCAGGTGGTGCTACCTTGGGTGAGGAAGACCAGCTTCCTCAGTGATGTCGTCAGTGCCAGGCAGCAGACACTGTCTGGGTCATGGGCTCAGCCATTAGCACTTGACCTTGACGGAAACACTTTCCTCCCTGGGTCAGCAGTCTGCCCAGTGGGGACACACAGGAGGCACAAGAGGCTGCAGGGCCAGCAACAGGCCAGTGACCCTGCTTGTCACACCGAGGTGGCCTGCCGGGGATCTGTGGGCTTCTGGGTCCAGTTTTCTACCACCTCCTCAGATGCCACTGTCCACCTCCTATCTCTGCAGCCAGCACGTGGACATGGAAAGGATGTGGTCTTGTCCCCAGTGACATTCTGACCAGTCCTGGGCACAGCCGCGTGACCTCCAGGCCAGGTGTCACCAGATGGATTCTGAGGCCGGACAGGAAGCAGAACATTCCTCTGCTTTTGAGGACATGGCAGAATTGTCATGCATGCAATCACAGGGGTTGAGGTCTTGTCCAAGGTGCCTACATGCCACTGAGCAGAATCCCCTGGCCGTTTCTATCCTGGGGGCTTTATCACTGAGATCTGACTACAGTGGCAGGTACTGGCTCCAAAGGCCTTCAGCGGTAAAGGAATGCTTCCTGTTACCCAGCCCGTGGACGAGCTCCAGGCTCTATCTGGGGATATGAGCTGTGTCGTGGGATGCTCCAGTGCAGGGCAGCACGTCCTGAGGGACCTAGGAAGCCAGAGAGTCCACCATGCTTTCCTACCTTCACCCAGGTGGGGGTCTGTCTGGAACAGGGTTGAGATAGCCCTGAGGAGTCTGATGTGTGACCATCAGTGTCCATGCTGTCCTGCTCCATCTAGGGTGAAACAGAAGCTAACAGCTCCACCATGACCTTGGCGGCCCCATCAAGGATTGATTGTATGTCCCCAGAATGCATGCTTGATTCAAGGCAGTGTGGAAGTTGTGCAATGATGCTCCAGGCTCTGATAATCCAAGTAGTTGCAAGACAGTGAGGGGTGGAACTGGACACCATCACAGCCCTCAGCTGGCAGACGGAGGTTTCTCTGGGTGTGGTCTGCTAAACCTCTCCACTTGTGCAGAGAAAAGGAGAGAGAGTCCTAGCAGAGTGTGGGGGACCTCACCCTCACCCTAACCCACCCTCCCAGAAAGCATGTCCAGGAGTGGAGTGTATCCGCAGTGGGGCTCCCCAGCTCTGGGAAGAGCTCATGGAGGTCTCCAGGGAACACCTGACCCACTGATGCTGAAGGAGCCGAAGACCTTCCTTCAGATTTGACACACAATCTCCCTTAAGGCCACGAGCCTGAATCTGGGCTTCTAGCCTCCTACAGCTGGCCTTCCAGCTGGTCCATTCCTAACCTAGGAGAATGATTTCTGTTTGTTGAGGCCATTGAGTTGTGGTGTCTGTTACAGCAGCACTAGGGGCCTTAGACACCCGTCCTAGCCCCTGACGCCTGGCAGAGTCCTCTTCTGTACCCTGCCTTCTCCTGGTCACAGCCCCCAGGCCTGACCCCTCGCTCCCACAACTACACCCAGAGACCCTGCCCCCTGGACTAGCCAAGACCCTGGAAGCTCTTCCTGCCGGTAAGTACCCTCCAAGGGCTGTGGGGCTCCTTGTGCAGGGAGCTGCTTCCTGGAGGGGAGACAGGAGCGCCCTCCCCCTCCAGTCCTATGCAGGGCCTGTATCTGTCAGCAGGACACCAAGAGGGAGACTGATGGTGCCATACCAGTCGGATCCGGATCTGTTAGTGAGAGTCCCAGAGTCCCATAGGGTGAGGGCGAGCTGAGACGACTCCTGAGGGTGGGAGATGTGTGTGCTTATGCATGTTTATGTTTTATGCGTGCATGTATGTGCTTGTGTGTGGGCATGTGTCCACATGTGTGCATATCCGTGTGGCTCGCTCATGTGCAGAACGTCCACCTGTGTGCATCTACACAGGTGAATCCGTTTGTGTGCATCTCTGTGAATTCATATCCTTAGGTGTGCATATGCATTTGTGTCTGTCTGGGCATCTGTCTGTATGTGTGTGCACATCTCTGATCATGCATGTCGGTATATATGCACATGTGTCTATGTGTGCACACCTGTGTCCATGAGTGTGTCTGTATGTGTCCTTGTCTATGTGTGCCTGCACCTGTACACATGTGTACACGTGTATGTGTGTATATGTGTGTGTGCCTGCCGTGAGCATCTGTGCACATGTGTCCATTCATCCGGGGCAGGGTCCTTCCAGGTTACATCCAGCAGCCAGTAGGCTGGGATGACAGAGGGCCTTGGGCTCAAGCTCAGTCTTGACCAATGACCCTGAAGTGATGCTGTGATGTCCTAGGTCCCAGGTAGAGAATGGGGTTCTAGAAGGAGGCTTCAGGGGCCACTCCTAGAAGACAGCCATCAAACAAATGTGT